TGTTATCTAAGAGGGACCTAGGGGTGCAGATACATAATCCTTTGAAGTTTGTGTCACATATAGACAGGGTGGTTAAAAAGGTGTTTGGCACGCTCACCTTTATTGCTCAGGCCTTTGAGTATAGGAGTTGGGAAGTCATGTTAAGGTTGTACAGGACATTGGTGAGGCCTGTTCTGGAATACTGTGTCCAGTTCTGGTCAGCCAATTAGAGGAAGGATATTTTTAAAGCTAGAGCGGGTTCACTAGGGATTTAGCAGGATATTGCCAGGTATGGAAGGTTTGATTTATAAAGAAATGCTGGCTAGGCTGGGACATCTTTCACTGGAGTTTATGAGCTTGAGAGCTGACCTGATAGAAGTTTATAAAGTAAAATGAGAGGCATAGATACAGTTAATGGTAGTTGTCTTTTCCCTAGGATGGGGGATTTCAAGACTGGGCGCACATTTTTAAGGTGAGAGAGGGGATTTTAAAAGACATGAGGGGCAAATTTTTTACAGAGGATGGTTTGCGTGTGGAATGAACTTCCTGAGGAGGTGGTGGATGTGGGTACAATTAGAACATTTAAAAGACATTCGGATAGGTACGTGAATAGGAAAGGTTTGGAAGGATATGGACCAGGAGCAGGCAGCTGGGACTAGTTTAGTTTGGGATTATGTTCAGTATGGATTGGTTGGACCGAAGGATCTGTTTCCGTATGACTCTGTGATTCTAATTACTACAAGAGTAATGGGTTGTTGTGGTAAAGAAAAAGTAAAATTGTTCCTGAGTAACTCGTTAATTCTGATACTTAAAAATGTGGTGATCCTGATTTTTTCTGACTGAGTAATGTTATATTTGCATGAGAAGTATAATGTTGATATTAACATCGCACTTGGTTTCAGTCCTTATCCATAATCAAAATAATTGTGCACCTTTCAAACAATTTTTATTGAGTCTAAATAGTAGAATACCAGAAAATCTCAAGCAGGAAAAAAATGTTTTTTTAATCCTCATCCTAGGTCTAGCAGAAAATGTTTGGGATCCTCTGTCATCGTCTCAGACATCCAGACTAGTCAAATTAATACTGAAGTTAGTTGAAGGATATCCTTCAGTTGTAAATGGAGAAAATAAATACACGCAGGTATGTTTTTGTTATCTTTTCTGTTCTTCCTTTTCTGCTCTGATTATAGCAGAGAAGGTTAAGGGGAGATTTTAGAGAAGTGTTTAGTGTAAATGAAGAGAATTTGTTTCCGGTGGCAGATGGATGAATCATCAGGGATGTATACTTTAGGTGGTTGACAGAAGAACCATAGGTGGCATAAACATTTTTCCCCAGCAAGTTGTTACCTTGAAAGGCTGACAGAAACAGCTTTAAGAATAACTTTCAAAAGAGAACTAGATTAAGAAAAAAGGATAAAAGATAGAAGACTATTGAGGAATGAACAGAGGAATGGGATGTTTGGCTAGCTGTTCAAAAAGATGGCATAATGGCCAAATTGCACCTATCTGCATAATCTGAGATAGATTGTTATCACTGACTGGTAGTTTTAATACATATTTAACATATATTAATCCTTGTACATTATTTTAATGTGTTTTGCTTTAATTGTGTTAGCTTAATTGTGTAGAATGCTGGCATGTACAAAAGTATCACTGGTTGTTTTAATTCGTGAAATGAATAAAACACATAAAATTTTCTCAGACTTTACTAAAGACCATCATCTTGAGAATCAGGAAAGCAGTGGATGAAGATGTTTTTGTACCACTTTATCCAAAGAGGTATGTTTTGCTTTCTTCAAATGGGACTTTTCAATTTCAAAATATCAAATCTTAGTGTTCCTGCTGTATTTTATGCTTAACTCACAAGATTCTGACTAATTGCTTATTTTAAGCAATATATGGGACACTGAATTCTATGACATGCCCTCTTGCATTAAGGTCAATCAATTTTTGGGCATGAAGTTATTTCCTGAATTTATATTCACTTGAGTAAACTACCAGAATTGGCTACAAAAATAATTGGAAAAATCTACTGAATTGTACAACATACAGCTGCTTATCTTAATGACACTGTAATGTACTGCCCAGCTATTTTATTCAGGCAGGAATGTAACAAGATTTCTCATAGAACCGACAGTATATTAATTTGAATATGAACTTCTGATTGTGAAATTTTCCTGCTTACACTGCTTTATTCCAATAAGTTTGAATTCTGTAAGATATCGCAAACCAGGTACACAGTACTGTGGTTTTGATGCCAAATTGTTCCCCCAAACTTGCATTAAATCATAGAAGTGCGCAACGTCTGATTGATTTAGTTAGATGATAACCAAATCATGTCAGATTAACAAGGAAATTATATGCCTGTTGGTTGTTACTTCAGTGAGTAATCCAACTGCTTCACATTTATTTCTATGACCATCACCTTACTTATTAATAAATTGAGGTCCAGAATTGTCTTCAGTGATGATCCTTTTATATTTCTCCTCCAAATCAAGCGAACATTGTATTCGGGCTCAAAAACAAAGTTGCTGGAGAAGCTCAGCAGGTCTGGCAGCATCTGTGAAGGAAAAAACAGAGTTAACGTTTCGGGTCCGATAACTCTTCCTCAGAACATCTGAGATAACATCTGGTGTTCTGAAGAAGGGTCACCGGACCCAAAACCTTAACTCTGTCTTTTCTTTCACAGATGCTGCCAGACCTGCTGAGCTTCTCCAGCAACTTTGTTTTTGTTCCTGATTTACAGCATCCGCAGTTCTTTCGGTTTTTATTGTATTTGGGCTGTTTGCTTGGTCTGTGTGTCTTCGCATTGTTGCTCTCCACATCCGTATTAGTACATTATTGTTTATGATAATCACTTAATATTTTCGTAAGAGAATAGGGAAAGCTTGAGAGTCTGTTATAAGTTCAAATGTCTTCCTGTTGAAATCACTTGCAAGGGAGGAATTTGGTGTGCCAAGTATTAATTGATGGTATTCATTTCCTTGTGGAGTTTGGGTGCTTGCTAATATGAAACCTGTTCACTGTGTGTGTGCAAGATGGGTGATCTAATTTAATGGCGCAAGCGTATTTTTGTGGTTAGGGTTATACTACTTGTGAACTGGAATGAAATGTGTGAAATAGCGTGTCTTTAGATTAATTGTTCTCCAATCACATTCTACATATGGATTTTTTTCCACTGAACTTTTTTCTGTCTGTATTGCAAGGTGTTATGCTTTGTGTCTTGGAAAGTAGTATGGAGCATTATATAGAGGTAAAATATAGTATTCAAATTTTTGATGTAATTTGAACTCCCTCATAAACGCTACCTTTATAAAGTCTGACCCATTGGGTAGAATTTTACTTGTCCCATGGTGTCATGCTTGAAGTCGGGGGGTGCCAGTAAAATTGTGGAAGAACTGATTCTCCAACAGCTTCCTGCTGCTGGCCGGGTTTCTCAGGGCAGTGAGGTGGTTGATTTAGGATCAAGCAGGCTGGTGACCCGTATTTATGTGATCCTGTTAAGCAGTCAATTGATCGCGCTTTTATACAGTTTTAGTATTTTTCCCAGGACACACCGATTCCATGGAGGGTCTACAGTTTGACTACTCAAAGGAGCCACGAGCTGAGCAACAGTTACCTGTAACCAGCAGTCATTGCATACTGCAAGCAGGAGGTCTCAGGTGAAATATCTGAAGGCTTTGAACCTTTTAGAGGGTTTACTGAGTGTGGAGGACTGAAATTGAATGGTTATCTCCTTGGTCCCCTGTCGGATATACAGGCCATGTATATGTGATGAGAACAGTTGCACCATGAGGACTTCAAAGAAAGATGGCTGCTCAGAACTTCTGAGTTTGGCTGTTCCAGTCTGATGGAAAGTGGATGAGAATGAGAGACTACATCAACCACGTGAGGCCCAGCAACTGGCAATGAAGGATCAACAACACATGATGCGTACATGGAGGTTGCATAGTGGCAGTAAGGCAATTGAATGTTCAAAGAAGACAGTACCCAGCTCAAAAGGAGTACAGAGGCTAAGCTGCACAGAAGTATTGAAACACAAGTGTCTCAAAAGATGGGATTTGTCAAGTTCAGAGGGGTTGTTGACATGCACAGTCAATGCAGAAGAATTGAGGCCATGGAATTGTAATGGACGGCCATTGTCTGTGTCAATTAAGTGATTGTGGTGCTTGATACCCTACAGAGCCTTTCAAAGTGTTGTCTTGGGCTGCTGACTGACGTCACAGAAATATCCCATTGTTGCATTAAGCAGCCAACAACCGCTTTGTTTGAGAGGGCAGGGGAATGCATAGGGTTTTTCACTGATCAGGCAAGTCAGTCTGGGAAGATAATTGGATTTGATTCCATGACAGGATTCCCTCAGGTTTGGAATTGGGTAACTAACAGACTGCTTGTGTGTGGTCATCGACACTCCACCACAGCAGCTAGGCACATCTGTGATCAGGCAGGTCTTTCACTCCATCACTGTTTAAAATGTCTGTGACTGCTGCAGAAGGATCCCTCAGATATGCACAAGATTCCCAAAAACTTGCATTACTTAATAAAGGCAAAGTACAGCAAATGTTAGAGAGTGTTCCGAAAAAGTAATTCTAGACTTGAAATATTAACTTTGGCTCTCCACTGATGCTGCCAGACTTGCTGAATTTCTTCAGCACCTTTATTTTTCAACTGCAATGATTTGTTTCTGCGAGACATTCCTGCTGCCTGTATTCTTCACACTACTAGACTGCGTTTGTGATTAGATCATGGGCGACGGCTTATCTACTAAATATATATCCGCTGACATCAGTGCTAAATCCCAAAACCAAAGCAGAGGACTACATACACCTACAGACAAGAGTGAGCATTAAGTAGATAGTTGGCCTTCTAAAATAATGGTCTGCCACTTCGATTATTCTGGAGATCCCTTTAATGTAGCCCTTCAACAGTCTCCCATATTGTGATTGTGTGTACGATGTACTGCAGCAGAGAGAAGTCGAACTGGCAGTGAACCATAGTGGTAGACGTGCTGCTTCCTTCAAGGAAGAGGATGAGTGAGAAATACATCTGGACCTAATATCCAGTGGCCATGCAAATGTGAAAATGATGGCCTTGACCATTAATCTACTGCAAAGGGTACATTTGACTCCCTCATTTGCAGAAATATACACAAAATCCCTGTCACCCACTTGTCATGAAATACATATCTCCAAGTAGAGATGGTGGCTTTTAATGAAGTTCATCCCTGTTCGAAGTCCTGCGATGATCTTTCCTCATAAGACAACTTTTTCGTCCTTGGAATAGGCATGGGGATCTTTCTCTGAACTGTATCCAATACTAGGAGACAAAAACAATACACAGTACCCTGCTATGGTACAGTATGGTCTTAGCATTGCCCTGTACTTCTGTACTCTTGTGCTCTATCCCTCTTGCAATACAGCGGGTTCTGCTATAATGCAATTGTTGCATTCTAGCGCAACATCACGTTGTAGAAAATTGCGCTTTATAAATAATGGGGCCTAAGGGAAAAGCAGGGATAGGGGCACAAAGGACACATAACAGTTATATTTTGCAGAATTCTTCCTCACTTGTGTAGCTTCATTCTTATAGCTTCAGTTATAATGACAGTTTATCAGACAGTGCTGCAAAGAGGTAGTACATTTATGAATCTGACCTTGCATTTGCAATGAAGTGACAGCTGGGCTTTAAATAGAGTTCTGCCCTTGAAAATCCGAGCAATGGTCAGTACTGCATGATAGTGCGAGCATGATCCAAAAAAGGTGAGCAGTGCAAAATTTTGTGACATGGAGCTCACAGCCAGTAACCCTCCATGAAACTTCCCCCAAAATTGACACATAGTCAATTTTTAGTAAATTTCCCTCCTCCATTTAAATGCTGATCTGACCTGACATTCCATCAGCACAGACTTCGAGACAGATTTTCAGATAAGTGAAGCAGAGGAATCTGGCGTTTATTTCCTACTTAGCCCATTGGCATTGAAGTTAATTGTAGGATTAAAATGCATTATAAACCTGCGTAACATTGTGTTCAAAATAGTGGTGGAAAAGAGCAGATTGTAACACAGGCAACTTTTGGTATAAATGATTTACATGAGCAAGTTCAAAAATTCTTAGATATTATATAACAGCTCCAATCTCTCCAGCTCCCAACTTAGTAGGCAGATAATGGTGGAGTAGTAACGTCAGTAGGCTAGTAATTCAAAACCAAAACAAATTGCTGGAGAAACTCAGCAGGTCTAGCAGTATCTGTGGAGAGAAGACAGTTCATGTTTTTGTTCTAGTAACTCTTCTTCAGGACAGACCCATTCACAACCTGTTCCAAAGAAGGCCCACTGCACCTGAAACATTAACTTTGCTTTCTCATCACAGATGCTGCCAGACCTGAGTTTTTCCAGTAATTTCTGGTTTTGTTTCTGAATTCTACCATCTGCACATTTTTTTTGTTTAATAATTCAGAGCATAAGGCGAATGTTCTGGGCAGCATGGATTTGAGTCCCACTGTGGTAGATGGTGAAGATTGCATTCAATAAAAATCTGAAATAAAAAGTAACCTAGTGATAAAAATGTAACTACTGTTGATTGTTGTAAAAATCCTCTCAGCAAATAAATGACAGCCTAGCCAGGTCATTATTACATGTTAAGGAGCATTAAAAGAACTTGAGGGATAGCTTAGTGACAGATAAAGGCAGATTGGTGAGTCTAAAATGTAAAACATTTTTTGAGTGTAACCCATGCTTGCAATTTAAATTTTAGCGTTTTACAAAACATGGGCCCTTTTGTTTTCTGCGTTTGCCCTTTCACGCTCCCAGTTTTCCATACAACATTAGTGCTCTGTTACCTGAGTGGGTGAACTGTTTAACCAGATTAATTTTACATTTGAAATCTTTTTAAGATATTTTAGCATTCCTATGGAAACTAAGCAAAATATTGCAGTGTAAATGGTTTATATGTCAGAGTTGATGTTCTCTATGTAAAGACATTGTATATTTTCAAAGCAAATTGTATTGAAACAACTTTTGCAAAGAAAAGGCACATTTACTGTGAATGTTACCACTAGGAGGGGTAATGAGCACGCACGCGCAGAAACTTAGCATTGCAGCCAGCTGACATCACCAGCTGTACTTCCATACGCAAACGCATGTATTGGCCATTTTAGCATCCAGACGAGAAGATGGATTTTTCCTTATCCGTCCAGAAGGGCCCTATCCAGCACGGTGGCTATATGACAACCACAACACAGGAATAGCAGTTGAGGGGATCTACTCTGGAGATGCCACTGGAAGGGAAAGATCCATTTAGTCAGCTCCCACTTACCCCTTGCTCTTGTTGGTGACGTCACCATACAGACACTTCCTGCAGCCTGTCACGGCCAGTTGACATCAAGGACCATGTCTGCACGAATGGGGTCTCTTTTGGTATTATGGATAATCACGGCATTGAAAAAAATACTGAGAATTTAAACAGTCTGACTTGTACTGCTGAAATATGTATTAATAATAAGTTAGAAGTCATTCTGGAAGGAGGATGTAAACGGAGAGGATCATTAGCCACCATTGCCGCTACCTCCAGCAAGATGCCACCACCAGACAGATATTCCCCTCCCTTCCCTTGTCTACCTTCCGCAGAAACTATTCCCTCTGGGACACCCTGGTCCAGTACCAACACCCCACAACACGGCACCTTGCGCTGCAATCGCAGAAGATGTAATGCCTGTCTGTTTACTTCCTCCCTCTCAGTATTCAGTGGCGTAAACACACCTTCCAGGTGAAGCAGTGCTTTACCTGCACTTCACACAGTCTAGTTTACTGCATTCGCTGCTCACAGTATGGTCTCCTCTATGTTGGGAAACAAAGTCTAGACTGGGTGACTGCTTCGCAAAACATTTGTATTCTGTTCACAAAAAAAGTACCCTGAACTTCCAGTGCCTGCCTTTTCAAAACACCACCCTGTTCCCTGGCCAACATCTCTGTCTCTGGCTTGCTGCAATGTTCCAGTGAAGCTCAGCGCAAGCTGGAAGAACAGCACCTCATTTTCTGCCTGGGGACCCTGCAGCCTTCTGGACTCAATATCGCGTTCAATAACTTTAGGGCTTGTGCTCCCCCATGTCCTTACCCCAACCACCATGACCAGACCTTCTTATCACATCGTCTCCTGTTACACACCACCCATTGTTAGCCACTAACAGTCCCCATTAACAGCTGTTTACCCTCCTAGCCAGATCGATATCCCCTCCTTTGTCTGTCTGACTGCTCTTCTCTCTGTTAGGGCTCTATCCCCACCTATTGTTTACTCCTTTCCCCCTTGCCCTAACCCTATCTTCTGCATATAAACTGACATTTTCCTAGCTATCATCAGTTCTGAAGAAGGGTCACTCAACCCGGAATGTTAATTCTGGTTTCTTTCCGCAGATGCTTTCAGACCTGCTGAGCTTTTCCAGCTATTTCTATTTTGTATTTGATCAACTTGTCAACTTGCACACCCCTAGTCCCATAGGTGCTGGTTAATAAAGGTTTGCCATATTGACATTACCATTTTATCTTTTTTTTAAATGTGTCTAATTTGCTTGAGCTAATATCCCTCACTTTAATCAGCATTGATTTTACCTTCAAGTGTTCTACTGCCTTCACTCTGCTCCCAATCAAAACTTTGATTAAATGTGTAACAAATTGCATGTTTTATCTCATTTTGTTTTAATATTGAAGTAATTCATTGATGTATTATTGTAGTGTGCTGGAAAACAAGAACTCAGGACCCTACCTGTTTTTTCAGCGACAGTTTTGGTCAGCACTTAAGGTGAGAGATTAAAAATTGATCATTTTAATGTTACTGTTCTTTTGTTATTTTTATAATAACATTACTTTGGGACTATTCAATTTGGGAAGAAAAGTATAAAGCATCATTGAATTCAAAGGTATACAGCATAAGTCCATTAATCTGAATTTAGTGCCAATCTTATTCCATTATTTAAGAAGGATAAGAGAGATAAACTAGGCAGTTAAAGATCTGTTAGTTTAATATCAGTCATGGGCAGGTTACTGGAATCTTTAGCTGGGGACAGGGTGATTGAACATTTTCATAAATGTAAGCAGATCTTGGAGAGCCAGCATATGTTTCTAAAGAGTAAAGCATATCTAATTAACCTAGTGGAATTTTTTTCAAGAAGCAACCAACATGGCTAAGGAAATGCATTTGAATGCTATTTATATGAACTATCAAGTATCAAATAATATTCTGTGTAAACTTGGCAAAAATAAGCATGTGGAATTAGAGCCAAGATTCTTTTGATTTTCTTGAAATTGGAGCCCCAGGTAGACAAGATAGTGAAGAAGGTATTTGGTATGCATGCCTTTATTGGTCGGTGCATTAAGTATAGGAGTTGGGAGGTCATGTTGCGGCTGTACAGGACATTGGTTAGGCCACTTTTGGAATACTGCATTCAATTCTGATCTCCCTGTAGAGGAAGGATGTTATGACACTTGAAAGAGTTCAGAAAAGATTTACAAGGATGTTGCCAGGATTGGAGGGTTTGAGCTATAGGGAGATTCTCGACTGAATAGGCTGGGACTATTTGGAGCATTGGAGGCTGAGGGGTGACCTTATCGAGGTTTATAAAATCGTGAGGGGCATGGATAGGGTGAATAGTCAAGGTCTTTTCCCCAGGGTAGAGGAATCCAAAACTAAGGTGAGAGTGGAAAGAGTTAAAAGGGACCTAAGGGGCAATTTTTTCACACAGAGAGTGGTGCGTGTATGACTGTCAGAGGAAGTGGTAGCTGGTACGATTACAACATTTAAAAGGCATCTAAAAAATTATATAAATAGGAAGGGTTTAGAGGGATATGGGCTAAATGCTGGCAGATGGGTCTAGATTATTTTAGGATATCTGGTCAGCATGGACGAGTTGAGGGTCTGTTTCTGTGCTGTACAGCCCTATGACTCGATGACTGATTGATTGATTGCTGAAGGTCCAATTGAAATGTTTTATTTCTGTTGGTTGGAATATGAGCATATGTAACATTCTTTAGGTGAGAAACCGAAGTAGTGCAGTTAGAAATTATTTGTATCAAATGAAGTCCAACATGACCATCTGAAATTCAAAGTGTAGTGTATTATTTCTGCAACTGTTGCGATTCTGCAGGAAATTTGCCGAGTTTTCAGACAAGTAACTTGCTGTGCAGATTTCTTGAATCAATTTCTGTAGTATGCTTCATTCACATAATACTGCACAGATTTTCTTTTGCTTCAAGGGACAATTTTAGGATAAACTAAGCAGTAGATTAATACGATCTGAGTGCATTTCTTTTGTCTGGATTTGTGCCAGTGACAAGTATTAGTTCGCCCTTCCTCAATTGTTCTTAAATGATCTTATTGCATAACAGAATATGACAAACAGATTGCATCAGCTGCAAGAAAGAGTATTGTCTTAGGGCATAGAATCCCTACAGTGTGGAAACAGGCCCTTCGGCCCAACAAGTCCACACCAATCCTTGGTGCATCCCACCCAGACCCATCTCCCTATAACCCATCTAAGCTACACATCCCTGAACACTATGGGCAATTTAGCATGGCCAATCCACCTAACCTGCACATCTTTGAATTGTGGGAGGAAACCCGAACACCCAGAGGAAAGCCACACAGACACTGTGAGAATGTGCAAACTCTACACAGACAGTCGCCCAAGGGTAGAATCGAACCCAGGTCCCTGGCGCTGTGAGGCAGCAGTGCTAACCACTGAGCCACCATGCTGCCCATTAATCTTGCTTAATACACTTGTATAGAAAATATTTTCCCATAATAGGCTTCAGTACGGTTAGCTGCTTCATATTATTTGTGCAAACAATAGCTTTCAAATGAATTTATTAAATGTTACTACTTTTTCAGTTTTTGGATAACATCTTGCAGTGGACTGGCATAATCTCACATCGAACATTGCAAGAGCTAACTGTGGACAGTCTTTTAAATCGCTACATTCTTCTCGCTCTTCAGAACTCCGATCCTGGAGATGACAGCCTGAAGAAATGTCAGAGTGTAAGTAAACTGAAGTACGCACTGAAAAGTTTTAAGGATCCCCAGGAAGTTTCTTTGCTGTTATTTCAGTTCTTCTCAGCTTGATATCAACAGATCAATACTTGGAAAGTGTATGACAACATAGAGTTGAACATTTGATTCCATATTTCACCTTTATATCTGTTTTGAGTTTCCTATGCAATGCTAAAAATTACATTACAATTGCATTACAATTTATGTTTACAAAATAAAGAGTTTGCATTAGGTAATACCTTCAGAATTTGCCAATCCACTTTACAGCTCCTCCAATGATGAGTGTTTTAAAAGTAATGTCGGAAAGCACCACAGACATTTAGGACATAGCAGTATCCCATAGATGAAGTCTACTTCTGCTATTTTGGTTGAAGGATAAATTTTGGTCAGAACACTGGTAAAATTCGTCTACTGCTCTTGAAATAGATTGATCAGATCTTGAAAGGATAGATGGGACCTGGATTTACTGTCTCTTCCAAAAACTGGTGCCGAATAGTATAACACTCCTGTAATAGTGCATTGCAGTATCAAGCTAGATTTTGTCCTTTTGTCTACAGAATGGGTCTTGAATCCAAAGCCTGCTGATTGTGATGAAAGAGTGCTACCACTGAGTAACAGCTGACATTGTTGCTCACTGATGGGTACCAGATGTTGAACAAATCATACTCCAACATCTTATGTCTTCATTGCTTTATTTTAATTGTTACATTTGTTCAAATGTGACCCTGAGACATACTCGTTCATGGAATTAAAATCATAACAAGAGACATAGCTATACTTTTAATTTTAGAGGTTTTCTTAAGATTATTTTTATAAGATTTTTGTTTTAAAAGCTGTGGGTTACTTGTTTATGAATAGAAGGATAGAATGTAAAAGCAGTGTGTTCAGAATAGAACTCTTACATCACAGTTGCCCCTCGGCTAGGGTATTGTGGGTGATTATTTCGGGTACCACAAACTGCAGGAGGATATAAAAGCCTTAGATGTGGGTACAAAACAAGTTTACTAATGATGAACATTTATGAACAATGGTTTGAAAAGCTTTGCTGTTAGAACAGAGATGGTGAAGAGCACAACTCAACAAGATTTTCAAAATGGGTTGGATGGAGTAGATAGAAAAAAATTATTCTCTCTGGTGAGAGCATGAATTACCAGATGGATTCAAAGTCGTTGACATAGCATCCAATGGAATAAGATTTCTTTTCTTCATTTGTATTGCCAGGATTTAGAATTTTCTGCTGAAAATGTGATGGAAACATTTCATTAATAATTTTCAAAGGGGTTTGGAATGTTATTTGATGGGGGTCATACAGGGCTGAAAGTGAGGGGATAAGCGTAAGTGCTGTTTCAAAGCCAGCACAGGCAGCGGGGACACCTCCTGTGCTGTACGTTTCTATGTTTCTCCTTGTATCATGAGCTAATATAGTGTAAAGTATACATTAAACTTCATTGTTTTAGAGTCATACTGTTAAAAAAAAGTACTTGTTCCAAGTAAAATGATAGTTGGATATCACAATGCTTCTTTTATCTCTTAGCTCATCACCTGTTTACCAAAACAATGGTTTGTCAACCTAAAAGGAGACAAGAGTATCCCACAGCTGGAAAATTTCTGCTGTTACCTTGTTCATTTGGCCGATACCATATACAGGCTAAGCCTTGGCTGTTCTGATGTAGAAAAACGTACGGCAAGGTAAATATAGGCACTTGTTTCAATTTACCATCCACAATAATGCCTGAATCTAAATTGGTTACTGGGATAAGGTTTGTATGTGCTATATGTAGATGTCGTATCAGTTTGTAATTTGACAACTTGCATGACTTGTGTGGATGTACCTATAACAAAAACTGCAGCTGTTAAAGAAGACTGCTCACCAACATCTTCTCAAAGGCAATTAGGGGTGGACATTAAATTTTGGTCTGGCTGATGAAACTGACATCACATGAACAAATAAAAAATAAATAATGCTATAAAGTAGCACCCCTTCCCTTAGGGCTGTGGTAATGTGCACTGTGCTTTCAATAAAACCCACTTCAACTTAATGTGACAAGGGACAAATTTGTATTTTTAGGTCATTTTTTTTCCTTCTCACCAGTCTCATTTTGAATGTTCTGGTACTTTCGTGTGCACCCTCCATGGCTAATGATGGATGACCTACTCCAAGAGCTCTGATGAAGGTAGTTGTCCCCACTCACTGATCCCTTTTTTTGGTAAATATGAGGATGGATCTAACACTGAATACCTGGGGTTCACCTTCCTTCACTGACTTTATAGCCTCACCTTACAGGGCACCTTTCTTTCAAATCTTATTTGAGCACATTGCTTTAAAACTTGGAAAGTATTTCATAAATATCTGAAATGGATAGGAGGAAATTCATTTTGGAATTTGCTAAAAACTGTTTCCTGGATGAATGCTGTATGTTTTGTTTAAACTCTGAAGTTGCATTTACAGTCAGTGGTTTAGGTTGGAATTGTGGATGTGCTGAAGTACGAAATATTACTTCAAAAGCATAATGGCAGTATCTCTGCCATCTATTTTGGTCCAGACTTTGTACACAACAGAAAAAAAGTTAATATCGTGTAATTATGAAGGACTGTTCTGAAGATGATGTGTAATTGTGTGCAAGTTTATTTTTATTTTGTGAATGTAACTTGTCGTCTTCAAATTAACTTACTCTAGGGAGAATATCAAGCAAGTGATCAAAATTCTGGCCATCATCCATGCTTTGGACCATGCAACAGCTGTAGCAAATGAATATGGAGTGAAAGACATCAAGGCATTACTTGATGGGAAATGAGACTGTGGGACAGAAACATGAACATTCCTGCCATTTGTATGATTTTGTACATATGTACAGATGTTTCGTAAAAAAGATTGATGGCGTTGTTAATAACGTTTGTTATTTAATATTTTCCATCCCTTGTGCTCAAAGGTACAACTAAACTGAAAAACACTCTCTTTCAGCCAGCATCCTTTACGCAACAAACTGGGAATGTAATTTTTTAAATCCAACCGGGGTTTCTACCTTTTGAATATCCACTGACTTCTCTTTATCAGAAGCAACTGAATTTGCAAGATTTTAGTTGTTCTCGTCCAAATAACTATGGACTATAACCGGAGAAGATTACATCAATATACTGGGAACAAACTGTGAAAATACAAGTCCAACCTGCAGATAAAGTTTAAACTCATTGGGTTGCATTTGTTTAATTTAGGAAAAGATGAATGACATTTGTTTTATCGTTTTAAGAACATAATAAAATAAACTGACCATTCACTGTGTGGAAATTGTGATGATTTGTCTGCTAATGTAGATTTAACCCAAATTGACATGATAGATTTATTGAGGGAATACTTTTCCCAGGACCCACTCCCAATAAAAAAAGAACAGACAATGCTTGCTAGGAACAGCAACTTACTTCCATGCATGCTGAGAAAATACATGTAAATCCACCAATACCATTATTAGTACAGTTTCACGTGTGAATAAATCTGACAAATCTTTACAACCAGCGCTAATATGCAACTAACACTGTTCATAGTGATTAAAAGTTATAACTGTTTGTATCATTAGGCTCACTTCAGAGTTGAACAATGGAAAAAGTGGTAAAATGATCTAATTTCAGTCCTAATAGCCTCCCCCGTGTCTGAGACTGTGACCCATTGTTCTAGACCCACCTCCACTCCGCCTGGGAGAGATAATCCCTGTAAACAGTCTGTCCAGCCCTGACAGAATTTTATACATTTCAATGAGTTCCCCTTGTTCTTCTAAGTTGTAATGAATACAGGCTTAGTTGACTCAATTTCTCCTTATGTGACAAACTTGTCATCTTGGAATTAGCCTGGTGAAATAGCAAACTATGTAAAACATATTTGTTATCACTGATTTTAAAATCATTTACCAGTAACGAAATAAAGATTGAGACATACACATGGATTATAGTAGATGAAATATCAAGCTTAAAAACACTCTATGGTTTATCAAAACAGAGGAATATGACAAATATTAAAGATCCTGAGAGATGAACTTGTGCCCTTAAAAACCCAGCTATAGTTCACGTAGGATATTTTTTCAAGTTACTTGCAGCTAGTTTATTAACATAAAAGTGGAAGCTCTCACAATTCTCGATTTCTAAAAATTTCTATCTACAGGGACTTCAACATTGCCACCCTATGGAGGAACAGGGGAACACTGGGAACATTCATAAAAGCAACAAGTGGAGTAAAGAAATGAGAAGCATTGATGTGAAATAGGCACAAATCAATGTTCTTTCTGGCTGATGAGAAGGAGGTTGCAGTTTACAAGTCTAAAAGCTGTGGGTTTTCATTTTAATTTCCATTCAGTTTATTGTAAATTACCAATCTACAGAAACAATTATGCTCAATTGTCTGTCGTAACAGTGTGCTAAGAAGAATACAATTTTAATTTGTTCCAAGGTAAACCACCTGTAACAGAATCAATGACACAGTGGTATTCTTGCAGGACTAGTAATCCTCTGGGAACTTGAGTTCAAATCCCAATATTGGAATATTCCTGTTGTTGAATTTGGAAACAAACAATCTGAAATTAAAAGTTTAATGATAACCATGAACCAGTTGTCACAACCCACCTGATTCTTAAAATCTGCTGTCCTTTGCAATGGTGTTCAACACAGCAATGTAGTTGACTCAACCACCCTCTGAAAGAGAGTGAAAGTCGCAAACTGCTAAAAATGTAAAAACTAGATGAATCACCTGGCACCAATCTAGGTGCTGGAAATGACAAGGGCAAACTCAGCCCTGTCGACAGTATAGCCCTCTTCAATTATGGTATGCAGTCAAGAGGGAGTTGCTCTGGGAATCTCAACATTGGACCCCGTGAAGTCTTGTGGCATCAGATTGATCATGGCCAAGAAAACTTGCTGTTGATTACCACCTAAACCCCTCCTCCCCCCACCATCCAACGAATCAGAATCCCTCCATGTTCAACACCTTTTGGAGGAAGCATGGGTTGGCATGTTGGCAAGGACGTAATGCATTCTGAATGGAAATTTCAATGCCAATTGTCAAACGTGGCTCAGTAGCATCTCTACTGCTTGAGCTGGTTGAGTTCTCAAGGACAGAACAACTGGACTGTGTTTGCAACAGGCGGTGAAGGAAACAACGAAGAGTAAAACTTGACTTCATCCTAACCAAACTACCTGCTGCAGATATAACTGTCCGTGACAGTATCAGTAAGAGTGACTTGTCAAGACCAAGTCCTGTCTTCACATTGAGGATACTCGCCATTGTGTTATGTTAGAATACCGTACTAAATGGGATAGATTTCAAACATATGACAGCTCAAAACTGAGCAGTTGTGAAGTGAGGTGGGCCATCATGCATAAAAATAAGGTTTCAACTTAGTAAAACTACAGAACAGGTCTGCATGCCAAACATCAAAAGCAGCAAGTGATATACCGGGCTAATGTTTCCACAACTAATGGATCATATCTGAGCACTGCAGTCCACATCATGAATGGTGGTTGACAATTAAACAATTCACTGATGGAGGAGGCACTACAAATATATTCATCTTCAATGATGGAAAGCCCAACACATCAGCACAGAAGGAAAGGCTGAAGATTTTGCAACAATCTTCAGTCAGAAAGGCCAAATAGATGATGACTCTCAGCCTCCCCCAAAAGTCCTGAGCATCACAGATACCAGGCTTTAGCCAATTTGAATCACCTTGTGCAAGGCAGCTCACCATCATCTTCCCAGGTGCAACTAGGAATGGACAATAAATGTCCAGCCAGCTATGCCCACATCCCATAAGTGAATAAAAAAAAACAAGAAATAGTGTATTGCTTCATTTTACAATCCCCTGAAATTACTACCATAACAACCACCATACTACCATGATTATGATTTAAAAGAAACTAATGGATTGAGAAGAATAAACCTATTGACCAATTTGTCAGATTGCTATTTGAAGTGCTTCAAGTGTTTTATTAAGATTTTCCCTCCAAGTTCCCTGTTTATCAGCAGTGATTGCAGATCCATCGGCCCCTGCAATGACACTCAAGGTGTGAGAGAGAAGCAACTTAATGCAAGATGGAAAGGGAAGAATGAAAGTGGATACAGTGATGACGAAGAAGAGCAAAAGATACCAGGACAGTGAATGGAAACCGTGAAGCAAAAAAAAGAGATGAATGTAGATTTGGAGTATGTGAGAAATACAAAAAGTTTTTTTTACTTGAACACGACTTCACGCAAGCCAACCTTCCATCCATTGACTCCATCTATACTTCTTGCTGCCTCGGAAAGGCAGCCATCCATAATCAAAGATCGCTCCCACCCCAGTTATAATCTTTTCCAGCCCTTCCGACGGGCAGAAGATACAAAAGCTTAAACATATGGACCAACAGATTCAAGAACAGCTCCTTCCCCACTGTTAGGAAATTTCTGAATGGACCTTTAAAGTTTCAAATTTAATGTTGACCTCACTCTTTGTGCACCTTCTCTGCAGTTGTAACATTGGTATTGTTCGCTCTGTTCTATTACCTTTAATGCACATTGTATGGTATGATCTACCTTTACTGCACGCAAAACAAAGCTTTTCATTGTGCCTAGGTACATGTGATAATAATAAGTCAAATCAAACCAGATCGCTTGTTGAGTAAGAATAAATTCTGTTTAAGAACCTGGCCTGGAGCTATATTCAGATTGAGACCAAGTATTTGAAAGTGTTCTCATCCCCATGATGAAAAACAACTTAGAGCTATTTATTTCCAGCTGCAGCTAAATATTTTCATTCCCTCCATTTGCTTGGCTTCCAGTTTGTTGGTGGTGGTACTTGTGCTTCTTATATGTAGCGTTGAACAACATTTCCCGAATTACGATTATTGGTTGTTTGCAATTTAAAACAGCCAGCTCTTAATATTAGAGGCATCTGAAGAAGGGTCCCGACCCGAAACGTCAACTTTTTTGCTCCTCTGATGCTGCCTGGCCTGCTGTGTTCCTCCAGCTCCACACTGTGTTATCTCTGACTCCAGCATCGACAGTTCTTGCTGTCTCTCAGTTCCTAATATTAGTTCTTTGGAGACGTGTCGAAGTTTCTTTTCTTTCTTCGCCTTGTATGTTTCCACGAATTAGTGTGCAATTTATGCTTGGCATGTCATGCTTATTATGTTGAGTCTAGAACTTGAAATTCAAAGCGTTTGCCAACTTCGGTCATCATTCATCCAGCTTGAACGTGGCAAAGCGATTCGAATTGACGTCCAGCAGGGGGTGGTAGAGGTCCCAGTGTTTTGAGAAGCACCATTGGCTTTGGGGAAACAAATATCCTCAAGGAGGGAATGACGTGACGTTGGGTGAGCGGACGAATATTGACGTTCAGAGCAAGTGGTTGTGCAGCCTGTAAAGATCAGAGTTTCAAGTGTATTTCCTGGGGTTCGTGGAGAGAATGTCCACCAAGGTAGGAAACCATCGGACAAGCATCCCCATTTAGGTACAACTCAGTGCAGTTTGGGATGTCTAATTTCTATTTCCCTCACTGCAAATGTTCGTGTAGGGAAATACGTTCATTGGCTATGCCCTTAAACATATTCTAACGCCAATGCACTGGGCAAAAAGAGGATTTTGCCCTTTAACAAAATAGTACTGCTGTCTCGTAAGATTAACTTTCTTCTGCTTAAAATACAAAGCTGTAGTATTTTCAAACGAGGTTTATTTGGCATAAGTAAGGAGGTTAAGTTAGCTTAATTGGCCTTGAGAGGCGTTTGCTGGTGTTATTTCTGTCCTGGGTTGTGATAAGGTGCGCTGAATTAGAGGATCGAACGGTAACCACTAATTATTATCGTTAAAAGTAATATATTTTACATGTGATGAGAAAGTGACTGGGCGAAGTCAAGGTGTTTGGCGATTGATTTAATTTGTTCAAGTTCGGGATGTTACACCTATCAGTGACGATGTACGGATTTCGGAAAAGAACGAGCTGTAATGTCAATGAGAGCGGCAGTTCTGAGAATTGGTCACCGGACCTGAAACCTTAATTTTGGTCTTTCTTCACTGATGCTGCCAGACATGCTGAGCTTTTCTAGCAACTTCTGTTTTTGTTCTTGATTTACAGCATCCGCAGTTCTTTCAGTTTTTATTTAGTAGGAGTAATTGGGTCATTGGCTGACACTTAGAAAGTCACTAGTGAGGTACCACAAGGATCAGTACTTGGACCCCAACTAGTCACAATAAATATTCATGTCATAGTTAAGGGAACTAAATGTAATGTCTCCAAGTGTACAGATGCCACAAAGCTGGGTGTG